TCAAGCGAGTGTATAAAGAGCGAACTCGATTTCTTCTCTTTATCACCTACGCAAACCACCATCGAGAGTTCGCAATGGATTTATTACAAACCCGTAACTTCGCTCACGGACGACTCACCCATAGAATTCGTCATACCTGGCAATGGAGAAGACTATCTGGATCTCACTCACACCATGTTGAGACTTCGCATACGCGTAGAAAGCGAACGCGGGGAGAGCACATCGGTCGCAGCCATCGACGTGGCAAAAGTAGGACCCGTAAATCATTTACTGCATTCCATGTTCAACCAAATCGACGTGTATTTCAATCAAAAACTCGTGTCGCCACCAAACAACGCTTACGCTTACCGCGCGTACATCGAGGCGTTATTAAATTATGCTTCACCCGCAAAAACTTCCCATCTAACCTCTTGCTTATGGGACGCGGATATTCCCGGCTACATGGACGACATGTTAGACTCGTCAAATCCAAATACGGCACTCGAGAGACGCGCAAAATACATTCAAGGAAATCGTGCGCTAGATCTCGTAGGTCACCTTCACTGCGACGTTTTCAATCAAGATGAATTTTTAATTAATGGTGTGGAAGTTAGAATGAGACTCGTAAATGTTCATTTTGCCTTATGGAGACTAGAACGATGTCAAAAATACGTATTCTCGATGCCAGTTTACTCGTAAGAATAGCAAAAATAAGTCCGGGTGTGCTACTCGTACACGCTAGAATGCTGAGTAAAACTACCGCCAAGTATCCCCTTACGAGAGTCGAAGTTAAAACATTCACGATACACGCCGGTGTCGTGGGGGAATCGATAGACAATGCAATACTCGGACAGCTGCCTAAACGAATAATAGTTGGCTTTGTCGATAACAAGGCATTTAACGGTGATAGAAAATTAAACTCGTTTAATTTCCAAAATTACAGAATAAATTTATTTTCGCTGTACGTCGATGGCATGCAAATTCCCAGTAGGCCGTTACAGCCAAATTTTTCGAAAGACGAGCCGCTCTACGTTGAAGCTTATCACACAATTTTCTCGGGAATTGGTATTCACTTTCTGAACGAGGGTAATTCAATAAGCAGAGACGATTGCGCCAATGGCTACACTCTTTTCGCTTTCTATCTTACTCCGGATCTATCCGCTAATTGTGCAGGACATCGGAATCTTGTGAAACACGGAAACTTACGATTAGAAGTGAGATTCGAAAAAGCTCTTTCCGTGACTATTAATTGTATCGTCTATGCAGAGTTCGATAACGTTTTAGAAATCGATTCCTCGCGTCAAGTCATTGTCGACTTTCCCGGATAGCTCTATGCCTTTCGTGAGAAAAATATTTTCCCCCCTACTACACATTATTTCTAACCCAATTCCACATGAGATGACGAAAAAAAGCTTCAGTCTTGTTCGCGACACCGACGCTGACGTTTCGTGACATAAAAAGAGTAGCGAAAATTCGAATATATAATGGATATAGTCATCGACATACAAGGTTTTCGCGATGTCGAAGACAACTTTATTCCGAAAGAAGTCGCGGTTCTTGCGATTAATGCGACGATCACCTGGCACTGGATTATGAGACCACCTTTTCCATTTGGAAAATTACCCGAGAGAGCAAGACGAGAAAACAATTGGCTTACACGAAATTATCACGGAATCGAATGGTTCGACGGAGACGTTAATCCTGTATACTTTACAATACATTTGCGAGCTATTACACGACACGCACGCTACATCTATACCAGAGGACAAGAAAAGTCACGTTATCTGAGTAATTTACACTCCAGAAACGTATATAATCTGGAAGGAATTTCTCCGGCTTTCAAAAATCTGCCAGATTTCGGAGGTTGCGGACAACGTTCCACGCACCACGGATTTCGAACCAACGTTGGATCACATTGCGCCTTACGCAACGCTTACAAATTGAAACGTTGGCTAGCTATACGAAATAGTAGCAATTCGAGCTACGATAGTCTTCCTTCAGAAAATTGCAGCGAAAGCGACGTCGAGAGCGAAAAAACAAACAGCGAAAATTTTTCAATTAAATTTAAAAATCAGAAAAACGATATATTTCGCAACATCGAGGCGAAATATATCGTGGAGAAAAAATATCGTGACAGAAAAGGCGAACCAAACGAGGACGAACAAGCGACAGTCGAAGAGAATAAAGATCTTCCAAAATTCGACTCGACGGCTGATAAAGCTAACACTAGTGTTTCGCAAACGACTAGTATTTTTGAGAACTCTACAACGCACGTACTGGCAAAAGTAGTAAATTGTGAATTTACGCATACATTTCCTCTCTCACGCTCACCTACGTCGAAAAATAAATTCAGTGGAAGTTTTAAACGCCTTACATCATCTCAGTGTCCGACATGCGGGGGTCTATCTTGCCGACCGACTGCCGAGGATGTGGACGAGGTCGACTGCCATTGTCGCTAACACAAACGATGACGATCGACCTGGTCAGCACAGGGTCGCCTTTTACATCGACGAATGCGGTACAGGAACATATTTCGATAGCTACGGCTTACCTCCCTTGGACTCAAGATTCCTCTTACGACTTCGTCGAAACTCCACCATGTATCGCTGGAACACGACGACGTTGCAAGGAATACTTTCTCAAACTTACGGACAATATTGCTGTGTATTTCTATATTTTATGTGCAAAGGTTATAATCTTAGCCAATTTCTTAGTCTGTTTACCTCAGATTATAAACGCAATGATCTATTGATTGCACAGTTATTTCATAAATTTTTTCTTCGTTGTAAACGTAGAACAATTAATTCTCATGCTGTATGCCATCATGTTCAATCGTCTATTGTTTTAAAAAGTATAATATAAAATAAACGATTATTCTCGCGAAAGAACTATTTTATGTAACAACGTTGTTTTATCAATAAACATCTTTTTTTTTTTCAATTTTGTCACTGTACGCCACGTCTATTATTTTCTTAATCATTTTCTCGTTCCCTTCCAATCGACATCTTCTTTTATCATATTTTTTTGTGAGAACTAAATTAATAAAAACTTTTGTAATTTTTCGAAATAAGACTAACGCTAACATAAAGTGCAAAAAAAAATTTATTCACTAAATCGAGTAAATCATACCAGCTCTGTTGCAATCAGGCACGAACTTGCCCATTCCTGTTTTCCTCCTGTCCTTCCAAACAAAAAAAAATCGGTCGCACAGCATTAAATAATAGAAGAAAATAAGCGATAAAGGAAGACACTCTTCGTTGTGTCTAACCAGGACGACGAGGTTCGAAAAAAACGAAAGGCCATAAATCATATCCGCATTCCTCTTCGAAGCCTGAATCTTTCCCCCCTTTCCCTCCCTGGCAAAAACCTGTCTCGGGGACATATTGTCTCCACCTCCATCATTTTCTCGGACTTGGCGGTTTTTCATTTTCACTTTCACTCTCTCTCTCACTCAACGCGCCCTCTCCCTCACCATTCGTAGCGCAGTTAGCCATGGAGCGAACCAATCGAAACGCGCCATTTACCTCATTACTCCACCCTCGCGTCACCAAGCAGTCAGAGCGCTCCCTTTTTCCAGACAGGCTCTTCTAATCGTCTAGGGGGAGTGGGGGGGATTTGTTTCGACGTCTAGGAGGAAGAGGGGGTTTGTTTTGACGTCTAGGAGGGGAAGAGGGGATTTGCTTTTGACGCTAGGGGTGGAGTGGTGAGGGCTTGTTTTGTCGCCAGGGGTGAAGTGGTGGGGGTTTGTTTTTACGCCAGGGATGGAGTGGTGGGGGTTTGTTTTGACGCTCCATGGCTACCCATATACTACTCCCGTAGGTCAAGACCGACCGATTGCATACGCTAGCAGAATTTTATGCAAGGTGCTAAACTTTTGTTATTTTTTACAATACTACCGAAGAGGAGTTATTGGTTATAGTATGGGCCGTGAAATATTTTCGACCCTACTTATACGGAACCGAATTTACAATTGTGACCGACCATAGACCACTAATAGAGCTATTTAACGTCAAGGATCCAGGTTCTAGATTAATTAGATCAGTGCTCGGAATTAGTTGCTCATTTCGAGCAGATTCCTGAGGCGACCCCCACTACCACTCGAAACTCGGCGGCCGAGCCGAGACGCTGTGCCCCAAGAGCGTCGCGACACGAAAGGTATACTGGGATCTTTCCAGCAAATATCATTAAAATATTTTCTTTCCTACGTCATTTTTATTTTAATAAATAATTAAAATAAATTTTTTATTATTAACATATTTTATTATTAACATAAAAATTTTACATATATATTATGTATAATTATAATGTAATATACATATAATGTAAAATACATATAATGTAAAATTAATACATATAATGTAAAATTTTACTTTATCGAGTCACATGTATTTAATCATCCTTTTTTATTTCTTAATGAAATAAACCTACTGAAGAAAAACGAATTTGAAAAACGTATCAATAATGGTACTTTCAAGATAACATGGAAAGCTATTGTCCATATTATAATTATCATATTTTATTACCACTTAATCCCGAGGTTAATACATCTATTGTTAATAAACGCACAGTAGCTATTTTTCCTGATTCTTTTTCATTGTCTGAGATCTCTCCATCAGTGACTTCGTGTCGAGACAAGTGGTTCGTGAATTTGTCTTCGGTGGACATTCCAATAAATGTACAATGTTTTTTACAACTAGGAGGAAATTTTGCATTACCTACAATTAACAAAGAGAATATTATTTTTGAATGTATCAAGAACATAGAATACAGTACACGTAGAATGCCAATAGACAAGAGGATAGATATCACGAATAGACAAGAGGATAGATATCACGAATCACTCGTTATCGATTTTGAACAACATTGTTTCGAGTTCGATGTCTATCTCCCATGGAGGAGAAATTGTTAATATTAGAAAAAGAGACCAAAGAATTTTTGTCGTCTCATCCGAATATTATTTGTATTCATGCGGACAAAGGTAATCTAGGTGTTCGCCGTCGAGGAAGTGGGTGTCTAGGTGTTCGCCGCCGAGGAAGTGGGTGTCTAGGTGTTCGCCGTCGAGGAAGTGGATGTCTAGGTGTTCGCTGTCGAGAAAGCGGGTGTCTAGGTGTTTGCTGTCGAGGAAATGGGTGTCTAGGTGTTCGCCGTCGAGGAAATGGGCGTCTAGGTGTTCGCCGTCGAGGAAATGGGTGTCTAGGTTAAATTTTACCAAATAAAAAGTAAAACTCAAGTGATACTATCTTTATTATTTACTTAATCCAAATGGTACCATCTTTAATTTTTATGCAATGAAACCTAAGTATACGTATATTTATTGAAGAATTTTCCTATTCCCCAATCCAAATAGTTTAAATTCCTCTTAAATAAAACTATTATATCACAATTCATTCAAAGACATTTCCTCTTCCAACTAAAGTAGTGTTTATTTAACTTTCCCTCAAAACGTTATACAAAACATTAT